GGAACAAGCTTGAGCAAAGGAGGCTCAATGATTTAGTCTTTGTCAAGTACAATTAGAGGCTAAGGGAGTGTTTCAATGATCCTGAGCAGATGTATACCACTGCATCCAAAGACATGGATGATGTCAGTGAGTAGATGGAAGATCCTAGGACTAAAGAGGTCTTCCTTGGTGAGTATATGAATTTGGATATGATTAAAGAGCCGCTCCAGGAAAAGCCTCCAACTCTGGGATGGCCACAAGATCAACGACCACCTCTGGTTCATAGAGGAGGCTGATCTGGAAGAAACAGAGGAGGGCCACTATGTTGAAAAGGATGATGATTCTGATAATGCTGGCCTTGAATCGCATGTAGGTGCTTGGGACAAAGCCAATGAGGATGATGAAGATAAAGATTGAAGGCGAGGTTCTTTTTAAATACCTTTAACGATTGAAGGCTAAATTCTTTTTAAATACCTTTTTTAATCACTTTAGTTTTATGATTTTCACTATATTGTGTTTTGGATTTTGCAATGTGTATGGAGATTTGAATCTGTGAACTATGAACTATGGACTTCAGGTTGTATTTTGTATTTCAGTTAATCAGTATTTGAGTTCTTTATGGATATATCATATCCTTGAGAAAATTACATACGGATACTACTGGGGGGGTCAATTACCAAATGGGCACTCATTTGCCCGAAATTACGAGCACCACCAGCCCCTCCCACGGCAATTTTTTTTCTAAGTTGCCTCCCTGTCCGCCAATGCAAACACTAGACAGGGGGCATCCGTTTAAATTGGGTGTGGATTTGTTATCCGTGTTTAAAATACCAGACAGCTATTTAGCTTTCCAAAACCTGCAAACCCCCTCTCTCCCTATTCTCTCTCTTCCCGCTAGATCTCTCTCTTCTCTCCCTATCTCTCGCTCACCTCTACATCGAGCTCCTCTTTGTTAAGGTACTCTGGCAATTGTGGAGCTTTCTTACTCTTCCAGCTATCAACACTCCATCTCAGAGGAGCGCCATTCTATGCATTCTCCGCTGGTTTCTGAGGTGCTTTGAGGGGGGCTCAGCGACATCGACAGCCAAGATCGCCTTTTGCTTTGAGCTTCGCTTCAGGTTGGTGCTCAGACCAAATGACTCGGCAGAGAAGATGAAGTCTCTCTGTTTCTCTCCTTGGGATGAAGAAGAATGGAGGTGAGAGGTGTCGAAGAATGAAGGTCCTGTCAAAGCCATTCTCGTTTCCTTACTCCTTTTTCCTTTGATATTCTCCAAAGAAATCCAAGGGAACTGAGGACCCCTTCCTCCCTCTTACTCTTTCTCGGACTTTCTTAGTCCTTAAGTTTCTTTCTCTCTCTTCAAAGGAATGCAACAGAGGAACCCTTCCCCTAACTTCCTCCTCAGCCTCTCTCTCTCTATATATATTTACAAGATTGGAGTAGTTCCTCTATTTCTCTCTAGAATGGTTTCTTTGACTAGGAGAAGAAGCCCAGAGTCGAAGGGTGGAGGAGAAGGTTGATTTATAGGTGAATGATGGGTAGATGAAGAGGTTTGGTGGTGGTTGTTGGGAGCTCTTCTATCTTGTCAATAGAAAAAAACCAGGAAAATAAGTCTTCGCTGAGCAGAGGTGAGCAATAAAGAGGAAGATAAGAGAGAGAGAGAGAGAGAGAGCTAGCGGGAAGAGAGAAGAGGGATAGAGAGGGGGCTCGGGAGTTTTGGAAAGCCAAATAGATATCTGGTATTTCAAACACCAGACTGCAAATTCACCCAATTTAAATGGATGTCCCTTGTTTGGTGTTTGCATTGCCGGAAACGGGGGCAACTTAGAAAAAAAAATTGCTACAAGATCGGGGCGGGGGGTGCTCGTAATTTCTGGCAAATTAGTGCCCATTTGGTAATTGACCATACCATTGATCAATACAGTGCCAGACTTATGGCCAAGGGCCTCACCCAACTAAGATGCGAATCACTCGAGTTCTTTCTATTGCAGCAAATAGGATTTGGAATTATTCAAATTGGATGTATAAGTGCTTTCTGCCAGATGGATCTTGATGAAGAAGCCTACATGCAAGGCCCACCATTGATCAAAAGGCACCACTAGGCCTTGCATTTTGCCTTAAGAAAGCCCTCTATGGCCTAAAACAGACTCCTTAAGCATGGTTTGAGAGATTCAGCCAAGCCATACATGTTGGATATACACATATCTCCTTGTATTATTCCATGCATGTAAAGAAACAAAGGCAGTTTCAATAATTCTATTATGTTGATGGTATCATTCTTACTGCGATGATACTCAAGAAATCCGAAAACTTAATGAGTATTTGCACACATAGTTAGTTATCAAGAATATGGGAGTCCTTAAACTTTATAGGCATTGAGGTTGCATGATAGAAGAAAGGGATTCTTGGATTCTTATATCCCAACATTATACCTTAGATCTCCTGAAGGAAACAGGAAGTTGGTGGACCTTCCCATTGGCTCTCTACCTGACCTCAATTTCAAACCAAAACCCATTTCGTGTGCTTTACAGTAGAAAGTGGGTAAGTACAAGTGATTAGTAGGTCACCTTATATTTGACCATTAGTCACCTTGACATCATGTTTGTTGTGGTCAACTTAGTGAGCCAAGACATGCATGCTCCACACACTAGCCATCTTGAGCCAGTCAATCGCATCCTATACTACTTAAATTCACTGTTAGGAAGGGGATACGTATGCAGATTAGGCATGATGTCATCACCATAGGCGTTCCAAGCTCTGGCCCTTTTGTTGGGGGAAATCTTAGACATGCAAAGCAAAAAACACTTTCCTCTTCATGGCATAGCAAAAACCACTTTCCTCTTCATGGTTCTATCCGCCTCTATTGTGATGATCAGGCTTCCATCCACATAACAACCAACCCAACATTCCATGAGCTCACTACCCACATTGAAGTTGTCCATCACCACATTCATGACAAAGTAACGTCAAAGATTATATCCGCACCTTGCATGAGAACCTCTGAAGAGCGTGTAGACATGGTGTAATTAGGGTTTTCACTTTCTTTATTCTATAAATATTCAAGTGGTGGCCCAAAAAAAAGGGAGAAGAAGATTATCCCTTTATTTTATTTTATTTTATTATTTTCCCTCTTCTATGCATCAAGACATGTTCACTAAAGGAGTTGGGTAGGGAAAGTTCTAAGATGTTCACTAAAGGAGTTGGGCAGGGAAAGTTCTAAGAACTTATTAGCATGTTGGGCATCCATGATATTCACACACCAACTTATGGGGGAGTCTAGAAAGGTGTGACCCATAAGGGCATATTTTTCCGTACTTTGTTCCTGCTGTATCTATCTATAGCTCATATAAGGACTGAAGTGTGCAATTTTAAAAGTCTTGGGGCAGATTTGTAAATGCAACAAATAGAAAATATATGAAATGGTGCTAGAAGGGAAGTTGTTCCATTCCTTTTTTGTTTTGTTTCTCTCACATCAAACAATCTATTATAACAGATCAGATATTGAAGAATTCAAGGGTATCTGAACTTCATATGGGAACACTAGTTGGTGGTGGCCCACAAGTCCCTTGAGATCAGTTAGGAACTTAGGAATGATTCCAATTTGACAGGGCTTGTTTTGTACACCAAGCCCATCTGTGGTGGGAAGCACTTAAGAGGGATAAGGTTAGGATGGTACAACCGATCTCTCCATGCCCAGTGGGACACTGTGATGCATCACAGTTCAACACACAAACTTCTTTCCAGAGTAACATCTCTCTGGATCTTTTCTTGGTCTTTCCAGCCCATCACTGGTTCGAGGAGCTTCGCTTAACATAATATGGTAGGCGGTAGGCAAACAGTGCGTGCTAGCATCACTAGAGGCTCAATGACAATGGAGATCTGGGGCCCTTGGAGCTCCAACAAGCCAACTCAGATACCAACATGCTGACCTGCAAGAGGGGAAAGAGTGCAAAGTGGGGCTCTTAGTTAATGGCCATCCATCACTTCTTCCGCGTATAAATCTCTGTATTCTGTACTTTGTAGTAACTATCTGTACATTCTCTTGTTGTTGGCACCTGGTGCAACAATGTTGCAATGTCCATTGAACATGAGCAATGGTTTTGGAATTGTAATATAGTGGAAAGGCTTCAGGCCAGATACCACCAATATTATGAAGAAATCAGAGTCATTTTATGTCAAGTGCCAACATTGATTATATAATAATGGATAAGTATAAAATAAAACAGTATATCCTTCGTACAAAGTCACAATCATCCTTAGCCTTTTGATGTGAAGTCAGATGGGTGGAGGTTTTGCTATCGACGCACTCAAAGTCAGTTTTTTTCAAAATTTGTGACACACTCAAGCCTCATGATTTCACATCTGACAGCTTAATATGATTATGTTCTTCTCTCATAATAATTAAATATCCAAATATATGTGTGTGTTTGCGTTATATGTGTGATAAAGGTGTGTGTGTTTGCATATCAGTGGAATAAAGACTACCTTTGTGGATCAATAATACAATTCATTCACTGAAGACTTTTTGGGAATTAGAGCTCACTAATAGCTGCCGTCTATACTTAAAGGCCCTAGGTCTCTAATAAAAAACGATATAAAAATTTAAGGACATAAGCTCTGCTTATCATTCCCAAAAAACCTCAATTAAAAAAGACATTTGAGAATATAAAATATATAATTCAGTATCCTCTGATAGAACAAAGAATCAACCTTGTAACAAGCATTTGAACTCGGTATAAGCATCAACCAAGTGTCACATGTCATTTTGGTCACTGCACTGGCCACCACAGTGGCCTTGATATCCCCCATCTAAAGAGCAGACGTTTAGAATGGATGTTCGTGTAGCCATGTAGAAATGTTTCAGTGACATCAGACTAATGATACCAACCGATTAAAGAGATACATTATCAAATGAGTAAAGAGGACAGTTTTCATTATCCATTTAAAATTCCAGCCATAAGAAACACCATGCAACTTTAAATGCCACTGTAACCTAAACGACACCAAGCTACTAGTAATATACCTTGGATTGTAGGAAACATGAAACACACTCTTTGTAGATACAGCTTTGGAAACTGCAGCAAAAGTGCTTCCACTTAAGTTCTGGCTAAGGAGGGCCAAAGAAGGGACAGAACCTCCTCTTGGTCGACCCGCTCTCCGAATCCCTAACCTCAACTCACCACTTTCGCCCCTGAGATAAGAAATTTATTACTTCTGTAGAATTTAAAATTGAGAAAGTACATTTAAGAAAGTACCAACAAACCAGACAATTAGTGTACCTTAAGAAAAGTACAGCATCCCCAGCGACCAGCTTCTTCTGATTGACAAAAACACTCCACCCAGTAGTGAGCAAGTGCCTGCGTGGCTGACCTGTAAAAGAGATCAGACCTTTACATTCTCTTTATGGAGGGAAAAATCTATCAAAGCATCCCAACATCACCATCATCGCACCCGAGCCTCATCCCATCCTAACATTATTTTGAGAAAACCAAGAAATCAAACTTCTTGGATGACTTTAACTATCAGTTTTTTAGGAATTTTCAGGGAATGATAGTGCCAGAAAAATCTGCAAGGAATTAGACGATGTTACTTGGTTTGTGTCAGGGTCGTAGAGAGAAGAAGAGCGAACATAACACATAAATTCAACAATATGGAAAGGCTATGCAGTAATTGAGCTTAACAAAGTAACCAGTGCATTAAATACAGCTTTGAGCCTACACCAAATAAAAAAAAGTACGGCTCTGAGGCCACACAAAGTCAAAATTCGTTCCCTTCTAAAAAAAGTTAATACACATAATAAAAGTGACCCTATCACAAGTTATCAGAATAAACTACAATTAGTGGGTCTGATGATCATCCATAAAACATTGTTCTAGAAATAGAATGTCTGAAATATTTGTCTTCCCCCTCATGCCACGTGATGGAGATATCTTCCTAATGCTCACCGCCATATAAATGACACAACTTTAGCTCAAACCCAACAATAAAACATACAGAACATACCCCTGTAAATATGCCGAAACTTCCATTCAAAGCCATGCAAATCTTTTGCAACAAGCTCTTGAGAAGGCCTTTGCTGTTTATAATCCTGCGATAAAAAACAAATAGAATATGCTTAAGAAAAAAAGTAAAGAAGAAGATGAAAATAAAGTAGCATATTTTAAAGAAAAAAATAGAAGAAGAAAAAGAGGAAGAGAAGCCCAAAAAAGAACAATAAAGAACTTACAAGAGGAGGGAAACAGTCCTCTGCTGCTCGGCGTGGGACTGAAAAGCCTCCGTGAGTGCTTGTATCAGAGGCAGTGAGTGTCTTACAAAACATATGCGGAGTCGCTGACCTACTCACAAACTCGAACTCTTCTTCACCATCTTCTCGTACCTCTTCCTCAGGCAAGCCTTTCTCCACAGGCTATCCAAAAAAGTTGACAACAAGTATAAATGGAACAGAATAACATTGTGATATAAGAAAGATCTCGTAGCAATTCAATAGGTAAGGAGCGGAAAGCCATCAAATGAACAATGAAAGAGAAGAGGATGGCCATGATCTCGAGAAGCAACAACACAAAACAACATAAGATACCAGCAAAAAGGAAAATGTAAAAGAACATGAGAGGGAGAAATGCGCAATGGAACTGAAAGGGAGGCTTATAAGCAGAAGAGAGGCCAATACCCCCAGTACTATGGTTTTTCCAGCAGCTAAAGATCAATGGAAAGAGAGATTTATGACTGAGAGTGAGATGAACACCTCACCCCAATGTTTAAAACTCCTATAATTGAATGGACTCAGAAGTTTATAATTATGAGAGCGGGAAACAATCTCTGCAGCTGTAGATAAGAGAGAGAGAGAGAGAGAGAGAGAGAGAGCGATGATAGGAAAGTAAAGTTCATTAGGGATGAACATCCATAACAGTGACTTTTAGTCCTTTCATTTGCACCATAAGCTCCAGATCTAACTCAGAAGCTCAAAGAGAGAGAGAGAGAGAGAGAGAGAGTAG